TCTAACTTGAACATTCAGCTCAACTGAACTTAAAAGGATGAGGATGGGATAGGTATAATCTGGCACGTAGCATGGGGGATCAGGGGAAGGAAACTACTGAAAGGAGTTTGTGTTAAAAAAGTTGACCAATCCTCTATATTAGCGGATTGATGTGTATCAAACCTCATTTTAAATGTTTTATATACTATCGTTAAAAGTACAGGGTCAAATTTCAATGAAGGTGCTTTTCATTGCAAATAATCGTAGAGTGACCAGTATTGAAAGATTTACTGCAGTCGAAAAATGATGCCCTTATATCTCATAAAATACTGACCCAGGTCATTTTTCTATACGTAGAAATATGTCAACCTGGACAATATTCATAGGGTCACTCTTTGTTGTAATACCAGACGTGTTCATTGCATTGGGCGATAAAAACCCTCGCTGACGTAGAGTTTAAATACAACAGACCACAAAGTGTAAAATTGTGCTATATTATGGATGATTTGAAGCCTGTACTAGAAAGAAATAATAAAAGTTCTTTGAAAAACGACGCTCTTGATGGTTTCTTTTTAAAGAATACTTTCATCATAAGAATGGATTCCTTTTTTAAAAAATGCAAAATTGATAGGGGTTTCGTGTTCATTTTCCTTATATATGTATAACGCACCTGTTAATTTCCTTTATACTGGATGTACTGATTTCTGATTATTTAATAAAACATAATAACAAATAAAACAGCTCAAAAGTCCATAAAACAATACTTAATAGCAGATCAAACACAGACCTCCAAAACATCAGATGTGGGATCAAGTGTCATGAAGGAGTCACACCCGCTGTGTTCTCCTTGTAATGATCGGGAAATGACGGGGAAATCCGTCGTCAATACAGTGTATAAATGATGAAACAAATTCTTTTTCTTTCTGCAAAGATTAATTTATCTAAAGAAAATCAGGTAATATAATTCATCTTTATAACGAGTAGTTATTTTAATAATTCACTGAAATCGTAAAAGCACATTAATTATAGAATTTGTTATTGCAAATTCTATGATTTGTTTTTCCTAGGTCAGAAATTCGTTTAAAAGAAGTATGAAATGAACGTGTTGGTGTTTTTTTAAAATCATTTTTAAGATCATTATATGTACAGTCAGGGAACAGCCATTAGAAAAATATATTAAATTAATCCAATGTAACGAATTTACGACTTTATTCCTTTTTTTACAGGTTTTAGATTTTCTCTAAACCAGTTAAGTTCCTTATTTAAAAATTGAAACTTTCTAAATTATGTTAACATATTTATCTTGCGTGTTCATATAATCATCTTGCATGTTAACATATATAAGTCGCCTGTTGACATTATTATCATGCATATTGACATAAATAAGTCGCATGTTGACATAATTATCTTGCGAAATTGATTTAAATAAGTTGCAGGTTGACATAAAGAAGTCGCATGTCCACATAAGTTATGTTGCATCTCGCATCTAAAATGTCAGATACAGGCGTTAGTAAGTAAATTTTCTCATGTTTAATTTATATTTTCTTATAAGATTTGTAACTTGCACGTCAACATAATAAACAAGCGTGTCGACATAACTATATCTTGCATGTAGGTGGCAGAAATATGCCATCATAATAATTGGACAATTGTTTCGAAAAAAATTCGTACTGTTTGCTATTTAACTAATACACTTTCTGCTCTGGTTAGTGGTTAGCCACAAACTCACATGTACTTGATTCAAATTTACTCACCTATGCTCAATGTAGATAATATATGCAATTAGTAAAACATTATTTGGATATATGTATTTTATAACCATTTAATTAATAATAAGACATAATCAAATGTAGCATATCGATCCATGACTTTTATAGTACATGTATGCATATCCTGGGCAAAAAACTACCAACACAATGGCTTGCAGAAGACGGGATTGCCTGACCGCTAGTTCACCCTCAACAGAAAGTAAATACACTGGCCTAGCTTGTCTGTTTTATATACACACAGGGGATCAGTAATAGAGCACCCATACCACAGTAACGAGGTAAAGTGCCCCTATGCAAGGTTGACCGCGGTCATCTACGATGAAACGAAAACTTTGGTAGCTTGCAGTAAAGATGACCTCATGTTTACCTTTAACACAGATAATATATAGACTGGCCTTGCGTGTCTGATATTCGCGATACAGACGCGGGGGATTACTTACGTCAGAAAAGTAAACAACTCTGCTAGCCGCGCTCATTGGCTGAACTCTGAGTAACGTAGAATTGAAATACATACCAAAACCAAAACAGAGTGCGACATTGATAACCTGTACCTCTAGTAAAATTACATTTATATAGTAAAATCAATTATTTCAGCATTTGTAAGGAAGAAAACCTTTGAAAAACAATACACTTGAGTGATTAACTGACATTCTACGGGACAAGTTTAATTTTGTACGATAAAACAGGCGATAAGAGACTGTATCAGAAAATAGAAAATACGGGTGCAAAGTCACCTGATTTAACAAAATATCTTAATGCCTTATCAAAAGTACAAATTGCAATAGCTTGAATGTTCTCAAAAAAGGGGCTCAATACCACTGCACATGTACATGAATTTAAAAAAAAAAAAAGCTAGAATTTGCGATGTTGAATAGGACTTGATTCTTCGGCTATACATAATATTCCATAAACTTTTGCTAAAGGCCTAATAATATTTGTTTTTAAAGTTAATGATTGTAATCATCAGTTACAATGTCAATAATGAAATGACTTCATCAAAATCTCAAGAATCAATTAGTCAAATTTCTTTTTAGTTGTTATGTTAATAATATTTATGAAAAAAGGCCAAATTTATGCTTCTTTCAAATGGTTTGGAAAAAGTATACTTGTATATTGATCAGACCCTGCAAATGTTTGTCTTTAATTGCGCTCAATATTCCTGCAGTGTTCCATAGAAAATAATTTTTAGGGATTCGATACAATTTACCGTCATTGCAAAATGTATATATATATATAGTCTTTATGTCTGCAAAGATGATGATTTACTAAAGAGAAGAAATATCGTTTAATCATGCACTGTTTAATTACTAATTCATTTTAACATGCAGTCATTTTTTGACCATGTTGAGGTCGAATTGATCCTTGCTTACCGTATGAGTTTGTAAATATTCATGAACTTCACGGCATGCATCACTAAACGTACTCTCATTGCATTCACAATTCCAACTGATGTTATGCACTAAACTCTTCATAATGTCCAAAGTATCCCTATAATACTAAGAGAAAACCATACCTTTTTTATTGTTTATTCACAACAGCCATACCATGAAAGGAAATTAATCTCAAAGCGCATATAAAATGTCAAACGCCGAAGCATCTGTACTAATAATATGAGGAACCGTTAACGTCAAAATTACACCCTTATGACAACACTGTAGACATTCATCATACATAACAAATTTCATGTTAATAAGGGTTATTTGGTTGATACACGCTATATGTAATGATTTGTATTTTTAGAATTTGTAATTGTTTGAAATTTTACATCACAATTCTTAATCAAGCTGATTTTCATTTTATTTTTATTTCAGACTCAAAGATGTTCTTAAAGTCGCTATTAAAATTCGCTAGGCCATCTGTTATAATTTGTTTTATTGCCCTCTTCTGACCGACTTACAAAAAGGTTCAAAACGTTTATTCATATTCCTGAACACTATTTATCTTTTTTTCTCTAAAGCTCAAGTGCTAGTATACTTATCTGATCAAACTTTGAGCGTTGTCTGACTTGTAGTTGATGTCGTCGTTGGCTCATCTTTTTCTCCAGCGACCTGACCATTTTCAACCACACTAGACACAGAGGATCCTTTGGACAAGGGATTTGAGATTGATTAAATGAAAAGAATGCCTCAATTTACAAAATAGTCTCGGTAATTTACCCAAGAACACATGCGCAATTTAAGGGAACTTTCACGAAAACTCTATGATATAATTTAAAATTAATTTTGCTCAAAATATGACCACCCCGAATAAGGGTAGGGCTACCATGCATGATCACAATTTCATGGATACATATATAAAGAGAAATGATTTTTTTTCTCAAGTAGAAGAAAGCATTACACACGTATCTGACATTTAAGTCCAGGAAGCATCCCGACAACAAAACAGTTTCTTTAAGGTTGCATTTTATTTCTTAATATTAACTCTTACAGCATGCAGAATTATTTACAAAATGAAAACAGCATTTCAGACAAATAAGCGAATAATAGTAAAAATGTATCAAACAAACTTAAAAGAAACACCGATTGGTTCATTTCGTATTGAAATAAAATAACATTTTTATTAAAAAAATTAATTTTTTAAAGTCTATACCTTTATTTAAAAATTCAAGAAAGCTTGTGGGCGAAAAAATATTACAGAAAGCAAAGAAATAATAATATATAAAGACAAATAAATCAAAGTCAAATACATGCATGTTTTACTCTGTGACCCAGACGGGAGAAAAAAGCAAGTCTGCAAATAATCCTTGTCTCAACCCACTGTCCGGAGTTTGCATATAGATATACGTGTATCTCTCTCCTACCTGTGGCGGCTTGATCACAATTACCCAGATAGCAAGCTGACGTTGGGCCGATGTTGGCATATGGTTGGTAGATCGGCTACATATCGCGGTTGGCAGAACGATATTGGGCCAACATCGGTCCGACATTGTCATTACAACAGTCGGTGTATTGACATTGTTCCAACATCGGTCCGACATTGTAATTACAACAGTTGGTGCATTGACTTTGTACCAACATCAGTCCGACATTGTAATTACAACAGTTGGTGCACTGACATTGTTCCAACGTCGGGCCAACATCAGGCACGTAGCATCGTTCTCAAAAGGGGGGGGGCAACCATAGAATTTTTTTACTTACCTGAAAAAGTTGACAAGCAAAAGGATGGGGGTGGTGGTGGCCAACCTTTTTCAAGGCCAACTTCCTTTCACTTCCAATTTTTTTGCTATTTTTCCTTGATTTCACTCTAGGCCCAGCCCCCCCCCCCCGTTGCTACGTGCCTGAACATTGTTATTTCTAATGTTGAAGTATGGACATCTTTGTAATGTTGGCCCGACATTGTTGAACCAATGTTGCTATGTAAACTTATGTTGAAGCGTTTAAAAAAATATTTATTTATTTTATTTTTTATTTCTTTATTTTTTTATTCATTTTTAATTATTTAACCCTTACGTAGATTTTCAAAACTATGGAATATAACTTAGATTTTTCTCTAAAACTGTCGACTAATAGTACAATTACGTCGGGATCGAAGTCGGGCTCGATAAGCAATTAATTTAAACAACACACCGCGCCGAAATTTAAATTTTTGGTGGGTTACACGCAGCCATGTTGATGTTGTACAGAAGGAAAGTTCGAAAGAGAGTGTCGCGAAAAGGAGAATCATGACTAGTTTTTGATGGAATTTCTGTTTTGACAGAAGATGAAGACATTTTACGACCCGGTACTGCGGTAGGTACAATTTACAAAATATTTCAACATTTGTCCTTGAATGAATAATTGCTTCTTCTACTGATCCTTAGTCAGGACACTACACATAAAATGCCTGGCAGTAAAATCGTTTGAGCAAAGCTAAGCGCTATTTCCATTTTGTTATAATAATTTAACACTTCTGAACATCTCTCATAAAGATGGATTTCAACCCGAATTTCCTCGTTTGTGATCGATTCAGGAATTTTAGTGTTCCTCTCTTCAACATTTACAGAGTATGTTGTACAATGTAATAATATATATTTATTTTTAAATGCATGTTCAAGATCATTTTCAGCACTTATTTTGATTATTTAGTAGTTGCATTCAGTGGACTGTGCCCGAGACGATTCCCACAGCGCCGGCGAATAATCAGCTTGTAAAAATGGTGAGAACCAGCTCAATCTTTTTTTATTTAAGTAACACAAATAACCTAACATTGTTTTTATTAACTTGTATTTTTTAGCATAAAACTATAAAAAAATATTGCATCTACTAAAGTAAACAAGAGGTTTATATTCTTAATTTCCTTATCCTAAAAATACATAACAATGGATTCTGACAGGTAATCTAAACAGTGGCGGATTTAACGGGGGCGCAGTTGCACCCCCCCCCCCCAAAAAAAAAAAAATTGTCAAAGTTAGCATAAATCACAGTTTCGTCTAGAAAATGTAAATATGTCTAATTGATAGACCTCATTTTTACCCTACAAAATCTCTAGAATCCAGGAGCTTCCGGGGGCTTCGCCCCCTGGGCCCCACTAGGCGGCCCCCAGACCCCTAAAGGCCCTTGCCTAATTTTGCCTAAATAAAAACACTGCAAGATAGTGAATTTCTATTCTACACTATACTGAACTGTCAGGTTGAAATAACCAATTGTCTTTACAGTCTTGTAGAGCCTTACTTTATTATTTGTCATATATTTTTGTTTATATATGCGATAGATATTGATTTATAATACATCCTAATGGTCATCTTTTCTTTCAGAAATTGTGCCAGCAAAGTTTGAAGTGTCTATGGAAATGATCAACATTGAACTTTCTGAACCTTTCTACTTAAAGTGAATCCGTTCGTGACATGACCATTTATTTGGCTACCCTCTAACATAACGCCATCTTTTATTTATTTATTATTGTGAATTTCATGGGATATCAGTGAGGAAGTGATTCAAGCAGACACTTGAGAAATTTCGGATCTAACTCAATTAGGATCTTTGGCATATTCGGTGAAAATAGCATGTGTTGATTTTATGGGATCTTTTTTATTAATATACTTGTGTAGGGGATATTTTGTACTTAATACATGTGTTTGTCACTCTAGTCTTTTCATTAACTTTGTACGGTAAATGTACATGGGTAACTGGAAGTTCATTGTAACTGCAATGACCTCTCCCAATGTCATTAAGTCAAATGCCATATTTTAAAAAAAGAAATAGTTTGTTTTATTACAAAGAAATGTCAATCAGTGAGAATACTTTGAAAAAAATGTGCTTACATTGTACATCTATAAGTGTATATGTAATATATGTTTCAAAACACATTGTAAAAGAAACGATTTTTTAATTTTGAAATATAGATTCGATCTATGATAAATTGTGATGTTATCATTATTTCAGTTTTCATTGTATATTCCTGGGATTTCTTATATTTCCATGGAATTCCATAGATTTCTAAATATCCTTGTGCACAAATTTGTTGGGACAACATTAGGCCAACATAAGAATTATCATTGTTTGACATTGGGCCATTGTAACGCCTACATGTAGGTGCACAAATGCGTTGGGCCTACATTGGGCCAACATCAGAATTGTAAATTTTGTATGACATTGGACCAACATGTCGGTGCAACGTTGCACCGATGAGCAAAATTACATTGGCCCAATATAGATTTTCCGACATTGGGCCAACATAACTGACAACAGTGGCCCAACGTTGGACCAACGTCAGAATTATCGTTCTCTGACATTGGGCCAACGTTGCGCCAACATGTCGGCGCAACGTTGCGCCGATGAGCAAAATTACATTGGCCCAATATAAATTTTCCGACATTGGGCCAACATAACTGACAACAGTGGCCCAACGTTGGACCAACGTCAGAATTATCGTTCTCTGACATTGGGCCAACGTTGCGCCAACATGTCGGCGCAACGTTGCGCCGATGAGCAAAATTACATTGGCCCAACATCATTTTCCGACATTGGACCAACGTAACTTACAACGGTGGCCCAACATTGGGCCAACGTAAGCTTGCCATCTGGGTAGTGCCTTTATATTGTGACCAGGGAGTCGTAACATAAAAAATACTCAAGTCTTAGACCATACTTAAGTAAGACATGAGAACATTTTTTTGTCTCAAGTCCGTATCATAAAGGATGCTAATAAATACAAATCCTAGCAAAACTTAGGCGATCATTATAATTAGGTGACTTACGTGCGTGTTATACATAGCATGGATACATTATACGTAAAACTGTTAAAATTTAACGATGAATATTGTAAGTATTTCATTTGTTATTAATTAATAAGATACTCTAATACCTCTTCAAGTCAATAATAAGCAATTATGTCTTGTATTCATGTATATAGCAATTTAAACATGTACATTAAGCAAAAAAACCCGATAGGATATATATACATGTGTGTACATTAATTATGATTGGAAATCAATGACACGTTAACTTGGCCGGTATTCACAGAGAAACTGAGAGTAGTATTCCGATGTCTGTGAATAAAGACACAATTAAACACTATTCACAATAGATATTAGAAGTTAAGTTCGAATACACAATTATTACTATGGTACATGTATTACGAATGGCGTCGGTTTATATACTTCTACAAAGTGAGAAGAAAAAAAAAGAACTTTTAAAACAAGAGAAAATCTACATGATTGACGACCAATATTTGATAGAGCGGTAACGTTTAGACAGAAATCTAATTGAAAATGAGTGTGAATTGGTGAGAAGTGATTTGGAAAGACCAACAAAAAGAAATGAAGTTATCAGTGTTTCATCACAGATATTAACTGCCTTGAGATTTTACGCTTCTGGTAGTTTTTTTTCAGCGTTTTGGGAGATTCCCAGGGGATGTCAAGAATGACGCTTCTCGTAAAAATGATGATGTGTCTTGTAGCGTAAGTAAATATGTTAGTGATTTATAAGTTTCCTTCCGATAATACAGACAAAATCCATGTCATGCAAAAATACGTTCAAATGTCTAAATTTCCCAATGTTCTGGGTTTCATTGATGGTACACATGTTGCTACAGTGCAGGGAACTAATTTTGTTACATAAACCAGCATCAGGATCAGCATAAGTAGGATTAGGATAGAGCTAGCATCAGCATCAGCATTTGAAAAAACAGCATTACTTGGATCAGCATCAGCAAGCAAAGGATAGAACTAGCATTGACCTATTTTAAAACCAGCATTGACCTACTTAAAATCAGGATTATCCTGGTTTACTAAAACTACAGATTTGATTTTCACAAAACGAAAACGCAAATAGACATTCCTATTTCAGTCGGAAATAAATAAAAAGAATGTATTTCTTGCAGACAAATTGGCCAATATAATCCTAAGATTATTATTAAATTAATTCAATAGCAATAACCCCGTGATATTTTCAAATCTGAATCAGCTGATCACCAAACGCTATGGAGTCTACTGGTGAGGCCACGCCACGGATTGCTGATATTGAGATCGGTGATAAAGGGGTAAGTAGTTAGGCTTGCACATGAAAAATCAGTTAAACAATATAATAAAAGTATGATATTGTGAGTATGACTAATTGCTACAAAATTCCATTGGGTTTTATGGGCATACACATGATAAGAAGTTTTTAAATCCGAATTTCCTCTAAATTTACGGAAGTCGGAATAAAAGTCGCAGTGCCTTTGACGAGATTATCTGCAAGCAATTAATCATAGACTGAGGTGTAATGAACAAAAAGTAATAATTAATCCAATGCAATAGTTGATTTTATGTTAATGAATCTGGTGTAAATATTTTTTAATGCGAAAGTTCTTAAACTTTATAAAAACTTGCGCAGAAAAATGAATTTGCGTATGTACAAAAAATCATTTTGAAATAGCTAAAAATATAGGAGAGGGGATCTGTGCTTGAAAATATGCATACATTTATTTTAAAACTTTTTCACTACATATTCTTTTCCTTGTTTGATGAATAGCATCTTCATAGTGGAAAATTGTGTATACAAAATAGTTTGTATGTCCTTAGCTGCAGATCTGTAGCTCTCCGAAAAAAATAAATTGATAGACTGGAGAGCTACAGTGCCACCCATTGAAAAAACTGTATATTTATTGCGCACAAAAAGTGTGCTCGGTTCTTGATTAATTCTTCCAAATTCTTACCTCAATTGCAAAAAAGGAAAGATTTTAAAAAATTCCTTTATCCTCAATCAAGTACTCTCGTAGTTGACATCTGAACGAAGCGTATTGGACTGAATTATCTTTGAAACCAAAATGGCAGTGTAAATAAGCTAAATGTTCGATGACTACAATATCAGGGTCAGGAGGACTATTAACAACAATTATGAGGAATGTTTGGTTGTGGAAACAGCGAAAGAATATGTTAGGAACACATGGTTAGTAATATGTTGAGATTTTAAAAACATGGAGAAATAAATTGAGATCCAAGCGCACTTTTTTGTGCGCAATAAATATACAGTTTTTTCAGTGGGTGGCACTGTATCTCTCCAGTCTATCAATATATTTTTTTCGGAGAGCTACAGATCTGCAGCTAGTATGTCCTGTATGTAGAATTTTTTTTTAAATGTACTTGAATCCATTTACAGTATACCCTTGCAAATAAGATCTCAATTCAATTAAATACACAAACTTTAATCAGTAGGAAGTCGATATAATTATATATGCTATGAATAATTATTTGTGTTTTTCCCAAATTAAAATTGTGGGAGATCAAAAAAAAAATACACTGTAATAATAATAATATTAAGGTGATCAATCATCAATAAATAAATCTTGTCTTCTTTGTACTTTGATAGAAATGGAGTGCTATGAACAGTCCACAGTTTATTGCTTCATCACCGCACATGAAAATCTAGATCTAATTCATTCATTCATATGAAGACGCCAACACGTTCCGGTGAAGGGCTGCATATTTTAACCTGTACTCAGCACTAAAGCCTTTGAAAAGTGAGAGATCTTTTTCGTACCAACACCTACATGAACTGCGACACTGGAACTCGGTTTATATGGTTTCATTCAAAGGACCGGACAATCTACATGCAGTGATGTCGGAGACTGATGATTCAAACAAAATTCTGCTTTTTAAAAAAGACAAGTGTTCTTCATTCCTAAAAGTAGAGGGCAAGGACAGTAGAGGACATGAACAGTATGATGTAATGGTGGATTTATAACTTACAATAAAAAAATTCTAGAAAGTGAATTTGTTGAAAGAAACTACTGGTGATAAAGAAAAAAAACTTCATTTGTTCATGCGAACACCATGATTCTATTTATTTATTTATTTGACTTTATTGACATAATATAATACAAGTGAAAAAGAGTGAATATGGGACATGAATTGTAAAACTATTAATCTAGTAATTCCATGATTACACTATTTCATAAAATTCTAAAAGATGTCATGGGACACTTTGTAATTTCATTTATATTATAATTTCATTGGTTAAATTGGCATTGACTATAAATAAATTGTAATTTTTAGACACTGGAAATTTTGTTTTTATTGTTTCCATTTAGTTAAAATTTTACATGTGTACTTTGTTGTTCTACAACAAACATAAAATAATCTTTATTTTGTCTCCTACTTCAAATATATTGTACGTGCCCTAATACAGCACTATTAGCTTCTAAGGAGTGGTACTAGAAGAAAAATTTGGTTAAGATGATATAAGATTTTACTAAATTTTTAGAAAATGAATATTTTGCCAAGGCTGTTAATTAAGACAGAACAGAAAAACGGATAGAAAATGTTACTGTATATTTCATGTTAAGCATGTTAAGTTTTCATTTTTAAAATTGCGAAATTTGTTTTGTACGGTACTTAATTAACAGTTTTAATTTCACATGTATATCATCAAGATGAAAAGAATTATCTGGCTAGCAGCAAACTCTTAATCTATGGTACACTAGAGCATATATAAATATTGGATGATTTAAACTACTGGCTTAAACAATAAGAAAAATGCATTTATTACACTGTCTCTAGTAGTATCATGATATAAGGGAAAAAATATCTACACAGTAAAACATGGTTATAATGAACACGCTATAAGGCCAAAAGAAAATATACTCTTGTTTCCTGTCCCCTGACCAAAAAAATTAGGGTAGGTAGGCAGGGAAAACATTTTATTTTCAAAACTCAATGAATGCAGAACTGCCAGAACATATAGTATGCAATAACAAGAAAGTTTGTTAATAAAGATTTATAAAGTAAAGGTATCCAGTACACTTACGATGTATTAGTTCTGTAAAATATTGTTGGTCAACTTTAGTACTTTAGGAAAATAGTAACCCAAAAAATAAAAATGTAATAAAAACTTTTAGGGTCGGAGGGTAAAATGTAGGGTAGGACGGGTGACAGGAAACAAGAGTATTTTTTATTTCGGCCTAATGAATTCATGCTGATGGTGGAGTCATTTTCATTCCCTGTACTGGTTTTAAAATCTTATGGATAGTGAACATAATTTTAAAATGTCAAAAAGTGTGCTTCCCAGGCATTTAAAATACTACAAGCTTATTTTTCTGTGTATTTAAATGTTTTACTTCAGTCTAAAATACCCTACATAACAATGTGTTACCCCCACATTCAGTCTCTTATTGCAGATTTATAAATATGGAATTTTCCAATTAAAGTTTTAAATGAATTAAATCCAAATAAAGAAATGTTTTTATTTAAATTCAAAATATTAAGAATTAAATGAATCAGGACACACCGGTATTACTATTTTTGTCATTACAATTCATTAATCTTGGCACATCAGTGAAAATTTTACCAGTCTGTCATCAACAAGTGTTTCATATTCTTTTTTAAGTGATCTAAAAAATCTATTTTTAGAGTATTCATGAAAATGCAATTAAGAATTATATATGCTTCATTCAGCTTCAATAAGAACACTACATGTAACAGAAATATTGACTATTTACATGGAATGTTGGTGTCCTCAAAAATAAAATATCAGGGGCAGTATTTTTTTTTAAATGTATATACTAAAAATACAACTTGGACAGAATATCATATAAACATGTATCTCTCAATTAGTACATTATACTTAAAACAAACATCACACTATTGTAAAATATATGTTTTCATTTATTCTAGTGATGGAACGATTGTCGGCGACAATCGATTGTCGGTCGTTAGAAGCTCTTCGATGCTACTAATCGATTATAAAATAAATGTCGCCGACATCGCTAACAAAAAATAAAATTGTCATACTTTAATTTTATTACCAAATCCAAGTGCAAAGAGCATAAAAGTAGTGATGAACATTGAAAACATGGAAGGATCCCGTGTCTTGTTGATACTTTTACCGCCATGATTAAATATGGGGTTAGACTAATACCAGGAAACAGTAATATTGCAAGTAAAGAAAACATAATTAGTCTAGTCAATCTTTAAACGTAATTATAATCATAAATACAAGTCTTACTTCTGGATAATTACTTTTAAAACTTGCAATTTTAACTAATCAAAACTAATTTTAAGACATAAATACCTACATGTATTAAATGAAAGGTGGAACTAATATCAGTAAAATACCCATTGCATGGACTTTATTAAAAAATAGATAAATCCTATATTGTTTAAAGTAAAAAAAATATTATTTTCCACTTTTTAAAAAAAGAAATTTCAATAAACTTTTTTGAATATTTTATGTAAGTAAATGGTTTTTTAGTAAAAGTCTGACAGAAATCTGAATAAGTTTTAACTTTTCTGTATTAATTTCATTAAAGTTCACAATTTCGATTATAATCGATTATTAATCGATTATGTCCAACCGATTATTACCGATAATCGATTATGATTTTTTCCGATTCCCCATCACTAATTTATTCTATAAAATCAATTTATATATGGACAATCATCATGAACAGTTGTAAGATTGTACAAAAGAGCAGGGATGCATTTCTATTTACATACATCTCATATCTAATTATGTACAATACACAAATCACTTGAAATCCACTTTAAACTTTAAATTCTGTCCATTTCATTTTAGATCTAAGTGGGAGATAACTTTAAAATGTATATATGTATGTCATCAATGGATTTGGCGCACATCATCACAACGGTTTTAATGCCACTGTCTGATTAACAGAAGTCCCTGGCTTGAATTTTCACTATTTTAACAGATAGAATTTCATCAGCTGGATTTAGGTCCAAAGAGAAGACCAGCATACTTTAATCCTTGAGGAATTTCTGCTTTGTTTACTCTGTCATGGACCTGAAAAATATGAAACATTACTTAGGTTAATTCCAAAAAATGCCAAATATTAAAAATCAAATTGCTATAAATACAGTTTTAACTAAAGTTGTTAACTTTATACAGTGAGTAATGTGTACATCACACAAATATACAAAATACAAACTTGAGGAGGAAATTATTTAATTTTACACATTTAGAGCAATTAATTTTTTTTCACAGGTAAAAGAAAATAAATTGTCACTGACTACTAAAACTTAAGCTATGAAATAGGGGCACAATGACAATAAGTAACTTTACAAATTGAACATAATTTGGCTATTTAATATCAAAGTAATGATCACAGTTTCAAACACTCATCTTTTCTCTTTTAACTCCAGTAAAATTAAAAAGGAGCCATTGAGGCTGAAATGATTAATCGATAATAAAGATTCTCTGTGAGGATTAAGTACACATATATCAATATGTATGTAAAAATATTTAAATATCGCAAAAAAGAATAAGGCTTTTTTTTGTTTATACTTATATTTTGTGTTAATTATATATGATATTTTAAAATCAAAAATTTCATATAAAAATACATACCAGTAACAATTCTCACCACTTACATAAAATAATTTTGTTTTACAGTGGATATACCATGTATACAGCTTATTCTTTTAAATCAAATGAAAATTATTCATAAATAATTGTGAAGAAATGGTTTGTTCTTAACATTTTTATGCCTCCGGATCGATAGATCTGAGGCGTATATTGTTTATGTCCTGTCTGTTTATCTGTTCAGCTGTTTGTCTGTCTGTCTATTGTCAATATGAACATTCGCAATAACTTTTTAACTCTTGAGAGGTAGAGACTTGATATTTGGCATGCGTACTCAACTTAAAAAGTTCTTCCAAAAGACACTTCAATGACCTTGTGACCTTGACTGTGACCTACATGCTTAAAATAGTTCTGTCGAACTTTTACCATAACTTTTGAATCATAGGAGATGGAGACTTCATACTCGGTATGCATATTCCACTAATAAAGTTCTTTCTAATGACATTGAGATCAATGACCTTATGACCTAGACTGTGACCTATATGCTAAAACAGTTTTTTTTTAACTTTGTTACCGCCGGCCGCACAATGTTTCACAAACACATCTTGTTCAATACAAAAAAAGACTTCCTGATCAACATGACCAGTTCAAATATTTGATAAATATTGACATTGTATTGTAGCTCAAATATCAGGATAGATACATATCTGCCTTCTGAAAAAATTAATATGTATCTGTTTAAAGCCTTAAGTACAATCTAGATTCTACTCGTAAACTAGACACTGTCACAGGACAGTACTTGATAGGGAACAGCCTAACTAAGACTGCAAAGATAAAATCCGTAACCATGCATACTACTGTTTAAGAGTTGACTTCTAGATTGGTTCAAAAGTTGAAATACGTGTACTATGTTTGAGTGAAGTACATTTGAGTGGACTTGGTTATCAGTCGGTCAGGTTATATATGTACATTACCACATTCTTGTAAGCGTGAAGCTCTCCTGCTCGTGGCTGCTTGATCAAAAAATTTCCTAATCTTTATCTTGATGCCTCAATCTTTATTGTGACATCATTTGACATTGTAAGTGAACATGGGTTTCTTTCCATCCCAATTGAAATGAACAATTTACATTCATTCGACAGTGTTTCTTACACTGCGACTGGGTATCTGACATGATCAAAATAAAATATCTTACTTTGCTTTATTTGCAAATGGTCAATATTTTAATGAGCTACAAAATATTAATGATCGAGCTACAAAATATTCTTTCTCATTTGACCACAGTCAGAATGGGAGAAGGTTGTACATTTTGGCCGTGGTTGCAACAATGGGTTATGTATAATTTGACTTGATACTTTGTGGATTAACTACAGAATACTGCATATGCAGATTCTAAATTTAAAAAAAATCATTTATTTTTTATTCAGTTTGTAAAAATTGACCTTTAAAATCACATGGGTTTAACATGTTTAAATGCCTTAATCGCTCAGAATTTTGAGTTTTTAATTTTTTGTAACACTTAATCCGTTTCACATAATCTTTACCCTTTTTATATAATCTTATTTAAAAAAAAAAACATTGTTTACATACCCTCTGAGTGGTTGTAGTGACTGTACTGATGATCTATTGGTTCCTTGGATTACGACGTTTCCATTTAGGCTAAAGCATAATATTTTCGCTAAAATGTTCACAGGACACGCAATAAATTTTCATCTGGATTTGACATAAACTTCATAATGTTCATTGTCCATCACGTTTCCATGCTTACACGTTGCACACAAAAGGGCTATTCCACCTACTGAAATCGCATCACAAAAAGGATAAATCATCGCATTTTAGCTGCAATCAATATCAAATAACTATGTAACGATAACTTCGCAAGATGAAGATTTACTTCCAACTTCCACTATGTCGCCATTTTGTTTCTTTACGATTGCAATACGACAAAACGAAATTCGTTAAAAATCGCTAATTTTTTCGGTAAAAAGTGAAAACAGATAAAGGAAAGTCATTTAATACAAATTATAAATAAAAATTACCCCCAAAATTATTTTTAATGGCTTAAAATAGCGATGCTGTTTTTGAATTATCCACTTCCGGCAGGATAATCCTACTTCCGGTAGCATTACTAGCATTGACCTAGTTTCAAACCAGCATCAGGATAAGGATCAAACCAGGATCAGGATAAGGATAACTAGCATCAAAATCAGCAAGCAAAGGAAGCATCAAAATCAGCAAGCATAGGAAGCACCAAAATCAGCATTGATGCTGTAACAAAATTATTTCCCTGCACTGTATAAGATCACCTAGTAAAGATGAACATTTGTATATAAATAGAAAATGTTTCCAATAAATGTTCAGGTGGTGTGCGACGCCGATCTCTGATTCACCAACATCGTCGTTAAGTGGCCAGGGACAGAGAGTGCTCTTTCATCAAAGTTTGAATCCGGTATGTAAGATTCCCGATAAAAATAAATTGGTCGAAAGCGCATTGCCTTGTGCTATGTATAAACATGTATATACAGGCACGTAGTAACGGGGTGTGGGGGGGGGGCAGTTTATTTCCCAACATTAATTTTACTTTTAAAAATGTTTATTGACGAACAACCACCCCCCTCCCCGCCGTTAATACAACGGTAAAGTAACATAAGGGAAATGCAGTATTGTATGCAAAAAATTGGTAGAGAAAGAAGTCGGCATCTGAAAAAAAGTTAGCCTCTACTACCTACCCCCCGTAATAGGATATTCGAGTTTGGGCAATGGTAAACGATAAGCAATTCCCAGTGAGTAAGAACGTGGTAGAATTTTTTAAAGACTAAAAGTCCCTTAGGACAATTGTGACAATAGCCAGACGTGATTAAAGAATTAAAAAATAAAAAAAAAATATTCAGTCTGTTGGTAAATATCACACTTACATGCAATAACCAATACTATATTAAGAACTTACACAAGTGTATTATTTTAAATCAATACATAAGTATGACTTAGCTAAGATCTTGCTTAGTTCGCTTTTTGTTTTGGTATAAGACATACTTAAGTATTACTTATGTATGTCCTAAAATGTGCTTAACGCGTACTTAAGACCTTACTTAAGTCAAAATTTTAGCATGCTTTATGTTACGACCCCCTGATGTTCTGCCAATCAAAATTGAAATCAACAATTGACATGGACAGTGTACAAAAAAGTTTCGCAAACTGTTATTAGATATTAAAATGCTTCTTTACTCCACAAGTTTAATTGCAAGTCATACATGTACGACAGCATTCCTTAACCAACCAAAAAAATGTTCATGTACTAAGATAAGTAATAATTCAACAAAAAGCTGAAGTATCACTAATAACGAAAATGACTTACTAAAGAAAATAACAATAAACTAAACCATACTATTACTTTTCATGTAAAAATTAAAGTATTTAGTATCACATCTTGTACATGCTGTGCAATTTTAAACTGGGAAGAAAAGTATACCTTGGAGCCTTATTTAACCGGACGCTTTTATTGGTTTGTCGGATATGTGAAGCGTCCGGATACTTGAATTACCAATTCAACAAGACAAAACAATTTTTAAAAATTCCATTCCCATGAAAAATCGTCTGAATACTGAAGCATTCGGATATCTGGCGTCCGGATATCTGAAATTCCACTGTATATTATGTTATTTCTTCTACAACATTTATTGGATCTTCAATCGGATACCTCTTTGTTACTTCGAACTTTCTTTTGTATGGTGTATTGAACTAGCTACTACAAGAAGTAAAAAAAAACCGAAGATACAAATTAAATTTTATTACAAATTGAAAGCACTCCAAAACAAATATACATTACGTATTTATGCATGTATGACAAAATAAAATAACTACAGAAGTTCCTGGAATAGTATAAAAAAATTAATAAAAACGGTACCTGAACTAATTTGATTAATTTGAACATTATGATAAATGGGTTTAATTGTCTTAATGTTTTACTTCAAGTTGTCGTTGAAATTGGGAATCGATAAGAGAGTAAGTAATACAAATTATATCAATTGATAGATGATCGTAGGTTATATAAATATTATGTAAAATTGCACATAAAATCACATGAAAACTAGAGAGGCTGACAACATAATGACGAAAGTTGTTAGAAGTTTGGTTTCTACTGAGGCAGCCACTCCGGTGTCACGACGGCCACCTGTAAAAAAAAAACAAGATCGCAGTCATAAATTTAATAAAAGTATTTCATTTTTTCAAATTGACAAAATATTATATATATATTTCTGTTGATCATTTTATTGAAAAAATAAACAACATTGTTAAAAAGTTCTCCGGGAAATGGCGTGATCAAATCCTATGTAAAACTTTGGTCAGCCATTGTGGCCCCGCCCTACCCCCGGGGGTCTTGTTTTGAACAAACTTGAATCTACACTACCTGAGGATGCTTCCATAAAAGTATGATCAACTATGGCTTTGTTATTCTTGAGAAGATTTTTAAAGAATTTTCCTTTATATTTCTATGTAAATTTTTGGTGGGCCATTGTGGCCCTGCCCTACCCTTAGGGGTTATGATTGGAACAAACTTGAGTCTACACTACCTGAGGATCCTTCCATATAAGTATGATCAATTATGGCTTTGTTACTCTTGAGAAGATTTTAAATGAATTTTCTTATATATTTCTGTGTACAGCTTTTGTCGGCCATTTTGGCAAGCCCTACCCCCAGGGGTCATGATTTTTACAAAATTAAATTTACACTACCTGAGGATGCTTCCAAAAAAGTATGATCAATTTTGGCTTTGTTTTTCTTGAGAAGAAGATTTTTTAAAGAGTTTTCCTATATATTTCTATGTAAAACTTTGCTCAGCCATTGTGGCCCCACCCTACCCCCACGGGTCACGATTTGAACAAAATTAAATCTAAACTAACTGAGGATGATCCAAAGAAGTATGATCAATTATGGCTTTGTTATTTTTGAGAAGAAGATTTTTAAAGAATTTTCCTATATATTTCTATGTAAAACTTTTGTCAGCCATTGTGGCCCCGCCCTAGCCCTGGGGGTCATGATTTAAACAAACTTGAATTTAGACTACCTGAGGATGCTTCCATATAAATATGAATAATTATGGCTTTGCTATTCTTGAGAAGAAGATCTTTAAAGAATTTTCCTATATATTTCTATGTAAAACTTTGGTCAGCCATTGTGGCCTCGCCCTACCCATTAGGGGTTATAATTTGAACAAACTTGAATCTACACTACCTGAGGATCTTTCCCATAAGTTTCATCTTTTCCGGCACAGTGGTTCTTAGGAAGAAGATTTTTAAAAGATACCACCAAATTTTCATTAATTCCCAATTATCTCCCCTTGAACAACGACGACAACAGACAACTGAGAAATTGTGATCAGAAAAGCTCACTTGAGCCTTTGGCTCAGGTGAGCTAAAAATGGGTTAGTGCGGTTTTAGGCTTATTAGAGCATTCAAAACCTTTTTCACATCGAAAGAAATTTATGAATGAAAAATATCCGTATTGTTTATTATTTTATCTTTTTCATCGCTATTCACTTAAAAATATTCAAAAACAAGTCGACTGGGACAGAAATATGTAGACAAAATATCACCTCGCTGGGTGATTTGGTCGCGCCATGACGTCTGACCCCTAAATAACATTCACAAAATTGAACATATTATCTCTTCAATAGGTTCATCTAAGGAAGATATAATGCAAATGTAAATATCAAAGTATAATAATGACACTGAGAATAAATTGAGGAAAAAAGTAAAAGAGAAGCTTACTAAGAGTCGATACGGTTGTTGATTCTACAAAAGATATAAATATTAGAATATTGATAAAAATGTACATATCAAATAATGTATAATCAAATAATAACAGCCACTACCGGAATATAAAAAAGTTTGTTTTTTCTAAGGTGCAGAAAGGAAATCATACTCACTATTATATTTTTTACATTTAATCATTTAACATGAAGAGTATATATTTTGATACAGTTTAATGGCACCTAATTGTAACTGTTTCGGTAAACATTTCTCTGACGCTTAGGTGTAAAGACTAAAAATCCTGCTCATGCATATAATTGCATTTTCGAATCTTTTTGTCTAAGCATTAAGGTAATTCAAAAGATTAATGCTCATTAAAAATGTTTTTACGTCAGAATATTTTATCCTCCAATGATAAACCATGCAAGCAATCGACATCTCACTACTAAGATTTACAGTCATGTGCACAGACAATTGCTTAAAATTAATTGCAAGATATTTTAGCTTTAAGGCATATTTATTGAAATATAATGATGGGAATATGGTAAAGTAAACATAAAAAGATCATAGTGTTAAAGAATTTCAAAATCAAGTATATAACCTGGTGTTGTGATGGAAGGATCTGTAAGAAAAGAAAGAGACTTATTAAAGTTGATCGTACAACATAAATAATGAACGAAAGATAATTTTTATAATATCGTCATACTGAAATTATAGCTAATTTCTTCTCGTAAAATAAAAAAAAGGCAATTTCGTTCTCTAATTGACTATTTACGACAACAAACTTAAGACTGACTGAAATAAGTGAATATTCATTTATTTGAGCATAATTTTAATAACTACATAAATTAAATTCATACTTACCAATGACAGTAACATTATTAGAAAAAGTTGTCTCTCCCCCTTTAGTGTTATGCCGAATTTTACAAAAGTATGTTCCAGCGTCGTGTAGTGTAAGGACTAATGAGAGAGAAAAAAATGTTTGTTGCATAAGATTTTTTTGGATGCACTTAATATGACTTTAGAAATCATGAAAACGTGAAATTAAAAACTATCGCAATGTACCTGGAATTCTAAGTTCGAAGTAAGTTGTGTTCTGTACTGTAGTTGCATTACACGTATAGTTTCTATTTAGCCATATTTTTTGACCGTTGTGACAATAGTCAGAGTTCCGAAATTTCCAATATGCATCCACGTTCGTTATGTTATCATCAGGGAATATTTCCACGTCACATATTCCTCGATAAGTGTCGCCGATCCGATAGGTCCATGATGAAGTACTTGGATACCAGTACTGAATTGTGAGTTCACATCTAAAGATAAAACAAAATCAACCTTTTTGGTTCACAAATAGTCATCTTTTTAAAAATTGATGTGTCCAGCATCGGACAATTGTTCATGTAATTTCCAAATTTATTCAATCATTGCGTTCATCAACTTGCGTTCATGAAACATGCATAATGTTTTAAACACTGGTTGAATAGTAGAAAGTTATTTCCTCCCTTGTATTTCAAAATTATTTCATTATCTATTTATGGAGGT